AAGAATCTTGACGCAATTATATCGACTGCATGTCTGCATTGGTTCAAATGAAGTCTTGGTTACTCGGCCTACTCTATAGTTACCTACTATAAACATGTGCATCATTGTGGTGGCGGTATTAAAACTGGTTTTTTAGTTTTTACTGGCTACAGGTAGTAGTATATCCGAGATAAATCCACATGTTCATACATAGCAGAAAGACGTCTATGCAACGGGTTATAATTTCATGTTATAATAGCATGAATCATCTCAAATTATTTGTGTACAAGAGATGGCCCAAACTATTGTAATATTATCCAACACCTGGTATTCTTCCCGTGTACTTTGTTAACATAATAATATTCGTTACTACAACATAAATTATTGGTGATTTAGGCGTAATTGTAATTCGTCACATACACTAAATATTATAGGTACTCATAAATACAAATCAATCGATAGGTAAATACTGAGAGTGGATAGTTTTAACAGTAGGTATGTAGATGGTTCTAATATTTATTAATTTTATCAATGTATATCAAATATTAATTGTATTGTTTATATTGGTTAATCAGTAACAACAAGTAACAACTATTTTCTGATTACTAATTGATTTGTATGTATCATGTATTCATCAATAAGAAAATAAAATATATAAGATTAAACCAATATTATGATAATCATATTATATTACCTACAAATCAAGTAGGTACATTGGGTACTGCGTATACATCGCTTGCGCACATTTGTACAAGCAGTTTGCGCACATTAAGAGGATGTCAGCACACTATATTATATTTTATCTCTATGATACACGCGCAACACAACAAATTTGCGTTCAGAAGACGTTGTTCGGTTAAGTCTTGTAGTAGAGTGAATTCACTTTATTATAATCAAACTTAAAGTTAAGAACATTATCTGTGGACTGTGTTTAAACGTTGGAGTATTAACCTACGTTTTTTTTCAATTTGTATGGGTACAATTGTACAAGTTAAGAGTATGTAAAATATTACAATTTAAAAATGGTCATAATATCTTGCTTCATGATTTAAAGATTGATAATAGGTTATCACACTAATACTAAAGCTAGTACTTTAGCTAATACTAAAACAACACAAGGTTGGTTCTGCTGAACTCAAATATGCTATATTAGGCATGGGTCAGAGAGAGAGTGCACTGAAATCCTCTCAGAAGTCGATGATTTTAATCCCATTTTGGGACAAAATCAGGAAAAATAAGCAATATATTAAACCTATTATTTGTTATAAATATTAAATTAGGCAGGTATATACCATATTACGGGTTTACTAACAAACTACAATTTAGTTTTTTGAAATTTAATGATTAGTATGTTAAACATATAGTTAGATAAGTAGGCATTATTGCATTAACGAAAAATAAATTTCTACACAAATTCGAGCAATTAATACATTACTAATTCAAGTGAAAAAATATATAATATTATGTATACGTATAATATTTTCATATAGGTAGTATAAAAAATATGAGAGATCGGTTCAACAACTTTCACTAGAAAAAAGTAACTGACTATACCTACCTATAACTTAATAGAGTTTATCATGACGTTCGTGGTGCACTAAAGATACCAGACGTTTCAAAACCATACGACGTCGGTGTCCATTGATTATTAGTTAATACGTCTTATTAGTAGACACAGTCATACTGATTATACCTAAATATTACTCTGTAGGTAATACTGTAATAGGTATATTACCTACACTATTTATAAATTATAATCAGCGATAGACGATAGTAATATAGGAAGGTACAAAATATTCCCAATGGATATATAATATTATAAAGATTTTTTTTTATTTTTAGAACTTTCAGCCTAAACTATTATAGTTCGACAAATACGGTAAATAAAAATATAGCCAATATAATATATTATTACACTTATGGTTTATTTATTACTTAAAAGTTAATACTTTAGACTATAGTACTTCTATATTTATACATAAAATATTATACTTTTATATAATTTATAATAAATAATAACACATAGATATGTTAATAAAATTATTTCGAATGAATAGTTTCAATCTTAGTTCATTTATTAATATGTTATTTTAACAACTGTACTTATGTTATTTAATTAGGTATTAAGTATTTAAATGTAGTTAATAACTATTATAATTTATTAAAGGAATAATGATGAATGATATAATCATGTAGGTTGTAGGTACATCATAATCATAAACATTGGTAACAAAATATAGTATTATATAATAGGCAACATATTATAAATAATAATCATTATATTAGAAGAATGTAAAAAAAATAGGTTTTAAAGTAAACGAGTAAATGATAAATCTTAATGATAAATCAACACTCGGTTTTCGTAATCAAAAACAATAACATAAATCTTGGAACTTTGGCAGTGCTTTATATAGTATAAAACGTAGAGATTGTTTTGACAAAAAAGTTAAGTTAAAAATAGCCAAGTATCTATATTATGTTATATGTAGATGATATTATATTTCAAAACTAAAATTTTTGCATTTAAGGTCTAACCTTGAACTTTGGATAACAGCCAGCGTATTTAATTATGTGTGTGAATCTATAACAGACGTATTGTAGGTTATTATTTATATAACATGATAACAGTAGATGATTTATTTCTAATTTTAGTTCCAGAATGCCTGATGTTTTGCTATTAAACATCTAAATAACAGTTTCGAGCAGCCAAATTTGATTAAATGCTTACAGTTGTATGTGTCTACAGAGAATACATTTTCTTTAATAATATGCTATGTAAAATGTACTAATTTATGTTCATAATAATGCAAATTGTTACAATAAAGTAAGTTGTTGTTGATTAAATATAATATATATTTAATAATTATAGGCATTTAACCTAAATTACCCAATCATTATGAAATTATTTTTTTAATTGACCTAATTAATAACGATAAGATGCAAACAAAATATTTTAAAATGTATAATTCGATGTTTTATTTATACCTAATATAAATTGACTATTTAGACGTTTAAGGTTTACCTAATTGTTTATATAAAAAAGTATAATGGTTTTTCTTTTTGTGACAATTTTCACCGGAAATTCTCTAAAAACATATCATAATATTATGTTAAAAAAAGATTGTAATAATAATATAAAAATAATTTTAATTTTAAATGTCTTTAAAACTATGACATCTAATAAATTAGTTGTAATGCATAATGTGAGCGGTAATAGGTTTAATCTAAAGTTTGAGAATTATGTGTGAAATAACATTCTGAGATCCTATTTCAACAAATAACCGGCATATCACATATAAATGATATAATATATAATAATATGTACCTATATAATATCATAATGTATGTTCATAAATATAAATATCTATTTTATAATTTAAAAATGCCTGATTTTTATTAATATCATCAATTAAGCATTAACTTATAAGTAATTTTAAATATCATCAATATAGCATATTCTTAAGTAATAACTACCTAATAAATTTGTCAAGGGTAAAATGTTTCTTTAATATAAATACATATTTTATGTAATATTGTATTATTAATGTTGTTGACAAAAAAATTATCAATTAATGATAATAAAAAAATCTGATAATTCATTTAGTGTCTTCGTGAGACTTCCTCTGTTACACGTGCTCCATGTAATAGTCAAATGAAATGTTAATAAAACATAGTATCACTTATTACGAGTTATTATAATACAAAAGTATTATGCACACGATTTTGAACAAATATATATGTGTATAATATAGGTATATTGTAATAATATATTGTGTAGGCTTACTTCGTTGGTTCGTTAACATTTACAAGGTAAAACTTTAAATTTCGAAACGTATGTTGGTATCTGTTGGTATCCTATAGTAAAAATAATACTGTAAAATAATCGCTAACTATATTATTCTATATTATTATTTTACCGCCGTAGCCATCAACTCGTCACAATACACATTTGACAACATTTGTTATTGTGATAATAATGCTTCTCGTCATTATATTATTCATTCGTCGTCTTAATAAACGAATGTATACAGTATACGGTTTGCGGTGGTGATTCACTTATTCGCGTGCCGAGGCGTAACGATCTCATTGTAGTCGTATAATAAGCCGTCCACCCGTAAATAATGTATATTGTCTTAGGTCGAGTAGGCGAATCGAGTTTTCACAGCCATTGGAATCTTAGAGAATACACCGCATACGAAAATATACAGGTAGGCAAACATTTGTTTTAAATCGGAAACCGTAGAGTTGAAATATATAATTTGTGGATGCGAATTATATATAATTATCGTAGGTGTTGATATGTAATATATAGAAAGGCACGACTATGGGAATATTTGGTTTTTGCTTGTATGGACCGTGTGGTGCATGCCGCATGCGCAGCTGCGATTATCGGCTGAGAAAAAAAGGTATTCAGTTAAATGACGACGATGCTGACGTTCGATCTATATATGTAATGTTTGACCTACAAAATTATAACAACATAGGTAGCAATCTAACATTGGGCGATGAGCCACTGTATTAATTACCTAGGTACAGTCGTACATCGAGTACACAAAAAAATGGCTTAGCTCAGTAGTACATTATGCCCCATATAATATAATATGTATATAAAGAGTAAAGACTAAAAGATAGGTACTTGCATAATACGCCAAGTAAATCTGCCTCACTGAAAAACCATTAACCGAACTATATATCAATATTATTTATGTTCTACACAATATAATGACCTGCTGTTATTAAAGACCATTGCGGCACTGCGACACTTCAAATCGAGCATTTTAAAATACCATCAGTTTACAGCCAATAGGTAGGTATGTAGGTACACCTATATTATTTGATTCTTACCCTGTAGTCTGTACGTGCACATTATAAAACATAGTTAATATATTATATTAAAATCCTCCCTGCCGGACTCACCCTCCAGTAAACAACAACAACAATAATAATAATACAATCGAATAAAATAAACCAATTATCATAATAATATAGGTATTAATTATTATCTGGCGTGTAGGTACAACTCACTGGCATTCGTTCATTATTTCTTCCTGAGTCCTGATCTGAACCGGCGCTAATTTCTCCACGGACTCCTCGTAATCGCAAAAGCATCTAGTGATTTTGTCGTCGAACGTATGCACCAGGTCTTCCAGAGACCCGCTGAATGTCTCACCGAAATTGTCCGTGTCGGACGTCGTCACCTCCACACCGACATTGTTGTTGTTTGCTCCACACTGCGTGCACGACGACTTGTTCGCCGGCTCCAGGGCCCTGCTGCTGTTGCTCAGCATGTTGTCCAGTTGCTCCTCATCCGCGTCGCGTACACCACCACCCGGAGTCGGTTGACTGTTTCCCTGATGATGATGATGATGATGGTGATTGTGAAGGTTGTGTTTAGCCGACTGCTGCAGCGGCGAGTCGTCGTCCATCATTTTCGTCCACTCGTCCGACTCCTCGAACTGCGCCAGCGGCGCTTCGAACTTGAGTTCGGCCATTTTGTTCATCATATCCAGCATAGCTCTCGGGAAATACGCGTTGGGACTAGCCGACGGCGATGGATAATAAAAATAATAATAGTAATGTAAAGATGGGCCTACCGGGACGAGACGAACGTACGTAACCAGACGTCACTGATAATAACAAGACGGGAACGCGTACAACAAGGCACGCGGTCCGAACGGCACTGAGCACTGAGCGTCTGAGCAAGTAGCAACCACCGTGAAACGGTCGCCCGCCGCCGTAGGGATCGTGACCGCTTGGCGCCGCAAATGCATGGAGCTATGACAGTGTCGCGCATGCACGGTAATTATTGTACTGCTAAATTCAATCATTATTATACTAATAATATTTTATCGTATATTCGTATGCAAAGTTGTTAATTTTTCTAACTTTTATCCGGGTTTAATCATTAGTTTGGTTATTATTACTCATAGACGAGTTTTCTTTTTTTGTCTCGACAGCCGTCGTAGTTGATATTATTATGTCGTCCCTCTGTTACAAATTCTGGCGACCGAATTCGTGAAGATGGGCAAAATAACAAACATTCTTGACAATTAAAATGGTTCATTAAGGATTTAAACTGTGTTCTTTTACGGTTATTTTATGAAACTTTATTGCAGTTGAAAGCATTTATGCAATATTGTCAATTTCAACATTGTTTTACAGTATCTGCGTTAAATAATGTAATAATGTATATAATATGCCTAATGCCTGGTATACTATAGGTACATAATACATATTTTTGCTATATGCAATTTACAACTTTCATGTTGGTCATACTGAAAGTGTTATTTGGTCGAATAATTTTCAAAAGGCTTGCTGTGTACTGCGATTGTGTGTACGAGAAAGGAGCTCGCGCATAAAAGGGCGGAATGTACCGTCCCCTCACTCTACTCCCTTTGACGCATACTATTGATCCGTGAACACTATGACCACTTGCTGCTGCGTATATGTTTTCCCAGAGTATTTTAAAAATACAAAATAAAATATGAAATGACCCTTGAAAATGTATTATTAATAAATAATAATAATTATGCGGATATTTTATTGTTCAGATTTTTGTCATTTCATACATTAATACAGTAATTAATAATTATGTTTTTATAATCGAATTCCTGGAGTAAGTGACCTGTATAGGTGTACAACGAATTTAATTTAATATAGGTAGGCAATTAAAAGTTGAACAGTTTCCTTTTTTACCAATAATAATATTGGGTTTCCTTAAACTAAAACGTAATAGATCACATTACTGATTACACGATATGAGTTGTGACTTGTGACTTAAAGCCTATGTGTATTTAGTATACAATTTCGGAAACAAAATGATGTGGGTACATTTAACTTTTAAGTAATTATAATATTTTTTAATAAACTATGACAAATAAACTTATGTATGGAAATCATTATAATATAGGTAAATTAGATAATCAATTGAAAATAAGATTCCTATCCAAAAGCAATTAAATATAAATGAATCTACTACAATATTGAATATTATAAGCACTAACTTTACTTACTTAATCAAATGTTTTGTATATTTGTATACTTGTATATTAATTCTTAACATTATTTAATAACATTAATACAATTTTTTTGAAAGATTATCACAATAATATGTACAATATTTAGAAATATTTATACATTTTTTTGGAATCGAACACAATTATAACAGATATAACCAAATATAGAACAATTTATCATTTATTTTAGGAACTTAGGGTATTTAAGTATTATAATATGGAGAATTCTATTATAATTTCCTTCTTTATACACTGCTAATATTCAATTTATAGTAGGTAAATGTTTTTTTTTTATATCAGGGAAATACTTTATTTGGACGTTTTCATGGGATATAGCTTAACGGCGCAAATAGTTCATTGTTTCTATTTTCAACATAACAAAATATAATCCAAATAATATATAATACTCCACTATAAGATGTATATTATTATGTGTATACATATTTAATCATACTCTGGTTTATACATTTTATTATACAATAAATTAAGTTTATAATATTATGTATGTAGTCGGTTTAATAAATATTATACATATATTATATATATTAAATTCAATTGTGTGAATATAAATGTTACCTTTTTAAATATACAACGCAAAATAGTCTTATTTCTTAAAAAAAAATTAGAGAAAATTGTAATAGAAGAACGTATACTATACTTTTTCAGTAACTATAATATTATATATAGTATACATGAAATACAATGAAAACTATATACTTTAAATAACAATTTGTATGGCGCAGGGTATCACGAGAGACGAAGTTCCGTGTTACATGGCGCCACAAATATTGCAGTTGGGTGTCTGCACGCAATGAAGAATTTATCCCTATATTAAACATATTTATATAGGTATGGTTTACGGTGTACCTACTAAATAATGATCTATATTTGCCTAATAAGTATATATTAGTTTTTTAGTTTGATTATAATAATATAATGTTCTAAAATTTACTCGCAAAGAAAATACATATTAATTGTATTGGTATACCTACCTACTTATAAATTATAATACAGTCGAACTTGGTTAATTCGAACTTTTTTAATTCAAAATCGTCGAATTTTCCCCGGTCCTTAGAATTTAGAATTTTCTATAATTGTACTATCCTATAGGATAACTCGAACTTGTTGGCTGGTCCTTTCAACTTCGAGTTAATCTAGTCTGACTGTAATTAAAATTAAATGCAATTATTTAATGTAAATGTATATTATAAATGTATAATTAAATGAAAAACGTTAGGTTCCAACTTACCTATACATTAATTATGAAATTATTTCCCATTTTATTTTATTCCATAAATATTGACACCCCCCAAAAATATGTTTCTTTTTTACAAAATATTAAACAAATTATTATATTAATTATATAAAATATAACGGTATTATAAATGTATAATTAGTTTTAAGGATAGCATAGTGTATTATTTATACCTAAATAGAATATAAAAGTATAATTGTAATTGGTATAGATAAGTATTATTTTATGGATTCTTATAAGTTATAAGTTATCAGTAGGTATTAATTATTATAACAACGGATTACGAATGGGCCTCTATAACTTTAAACTTACTATCAAGCAATTCGATCTCGATGTATTATTGAATTAAATAAATATTAAATGTCTACTTATTATCAACTTATTTTACTCATTACAATAATTGTATAATATATAAAACAATGAATAGTGAATACAATATTTAAAGCATATGAAAAAAATAAATACGGAAATCCTCACGTCTTTTAATACTAATATGTGTTGATCTTGTACAGTTGTACAACCAGGAAAAGAGAGATTAATTAAAAAAGGGTGAATGGTTTATTTACAGAATCATTTTGCTTCTAATAATAACACAGATACCTTAATAGTCCATATTATTCTATCTATAAATGATAAATTATACTTAATTTATTATAGAATAAATAAACTAACAAGTAATAAATATTAAATAATAATATATTGATTATAGTATTAAATATTTATTATTTATGCATATATATCATATTTTATTTTAAATACCAGTATAGATATCGTATAGCCAAAGTTGTTTTAAAGCTGTATTGATTTAAAAAATATGTATAATTGGCTTATTAATTATTACCTACCATAAATCTGTTAATCATATATATATATGTATATATGTGTATTAAATTAAACCATAACTTATTCAGTTCAATATAATATTATAATAGAAAAAAAAACTATTGACTTATAAAATATTTAATATAATATAGCCACACTTATGTAGGTAGGTACCTTTAATACTTACTTAGTTTTTTAAACTTCAGTTTAAAATGTTTTAAAAGTCCGGAATTTCTGACTTCATAAATAGGAATTGATTTTAAATAAAATAAGAAAATTAATGGTCTATAATTTGAAAACTGCAATGTTCCGAATGTATAAAGCAATGTTAATCCTCTTCTATTTCTATTTCTGGAGCGATCACGACTATTATTTCAGTGTTAGTAAATACTTAATTCGTATATGACCGTATGGGCAAACGATTTAAAATATTTTGTTAGTGACGTTTAACATGTAAAACTATATAAATAAAAATTATGATAATACTTATATACATATAGTTCTATGCTATATAGTGTATTCAGATATACCTATATGAAATTATGAAACTATTATTTAATAAATCATGAAGTACCTATATAATTTATTTATTTATAAATAATACTGAATTTATGATAAGAAAAACGCGTATACATATTTTTACCTATACATCCCCTTTAAATTCGCCTTTAAAAAATAGTAACATGTAGTTTGTATAGGTATACTACAACTAGGTACTAAATTCCCATTTAAATATTTAATAATATTTTGAATCATTTTTTTAATTTTCCACATTTTATAGTAGTGTATAAAATATAACAAACGAGTAAATAACTAATTCCTAACAAAGAAATATTTTCGTTTGTAAATAAACGCTTGACTAACTTCGTGGCCGGATTGTAAAAGTACCTAACCATTTAAATCAAATAAATATCCAATGTACATTTATACCTTCAAACGGCAAACATTCTACTAAAGTACTTCTTACGTGCAAGCTTAGACATGAGAAGATAACAAAATAACAGATTCCTACAAAGCTTGCGTGATTCTCAAATAATCTATATACCTTATACCTAGTCTCAAGCTCTCAATGTAGATAATATATAAACACAAAATTAAAATAAATCATTACCTAATTGAGTTCTAATTCAGAAGCACAAGTGAAACAGAAGCCCATAATGCCTCAGTGAAATACCTATATGTAATGTTCTCATCAATATAACCCTTTTTAAAATTAAATAATAATTAATGTCAATGTCACTGTACCTTTATGGCTATATATCCTGTTAATCAAGTGGATTCCACTTCAGTCACCACTCACCATTAAAATGTTTATACATAGAAGACTTTAAACCACCATCAATCTATGGCTTTTACTGTAGCTGTATACTATGCATTTTAAAATATATGTGTTTCAGTCCAGAGTTCAGTTTGAATCACC